GAAGAAACTCCATAATAACAGGCAGATAATATAGTAAATGGTTAAGTGCACAGATTTTGGTTCGACATATTTGATTGCAGTTTTGGCTCTGCTCTTGACAGTCGTGTGTCCTTGAGCAGGGTGCTCAGTTTCTCTGAGCTGTAGTCCCTACGTCTGAGAAATGGGGGAAATCAGAGAGCCTAACTTACTGGGATGCTGTGAAGATTGCATGGCATAATGCGTCTGTCTGACAAAGTGCTTGTTAAGGGATGATTTGCGTTTTCTTCTGAAATCCAAGTGCTGGTGGGAGACAATGCCATGTCCACTCTGTTGAGGAGCAAGGTTTTTAAAGGGAAGAGACAGAAAAACTGGGGCCTTTGCAATTTGGAGGAGCCTAGCAATTTGCCAACAGAGCTCAAAATGACTGTGTAAAAAGCTCCCATCAGTTTCCATTATATTAGATGATAAGTCTTCCTCTGCTCAGCCCTGAGAAACTGCCTTCTGGGCCCCATGCCACTGAAGAAAGCTCTCTGCTGAGATTCTGGAAGGAGAGACCTCATAGGAATATCTACACCCGTGCCAGGAAATAATCCAAAGCGCTTAGATGAGGCTTGGAGAGTTTGGTGATATACGGGGTTCATTTTACCAGAATGAATCCAAAGCCCTCTTATGAAGAGTGGTTATATTAAATAAAACCAACTTTTTGAAAATACAGGAGCAGCAGTTTGGGAACGGGAAGGGGGGAGGAGAGTTTGGACAGGCTTTGCAGCCCTGTGGAGGAGGTTTCCCATGGGTGTTTGCATCTGAGCACTGGGGAGACCATGGGCTGGGGAGACAGTCATTGCTTTGGGTGTGGTTTTTCAAGCCAGGAGATGGTGCCCAAGGAGGGCCAGTAGAGAGAAATGGGCCATGGGCCTGGGGTAGAAACTCAAGGAGACACAGAAGGCACAGGAGGAGGAGATACAGAAAAAAGTGTTGGTGGGGTATGCGGAGGCCAGGGCTATGGAAGCCAAGGGAAGAGAGAGTTTTACAAAATGGTGGAATGTAGCCATCTTGAACATGGCATAAAGGGAGAGCAAGGGGACCAAAGTGTGTGTTGGCAAAATGGATGTCAAAGAAGAACTTTTTGAGAGCAGTTTCTGTGGAATTGGAAGGCAGCAAACAGACGAAGGCGGGTTGAGGAGTAAGTGGGGATGGTGAGAGTAGACCGGTCTTTTGAGAAGCTTGATGGAGAACAAAGTGGGTGGCAGGGGGTGACTGGGATGTAGGTGGTGCATGTGGGAGCTGCCCAAAGGCTGGTGGAAGGAGGACTGATCCCAGGGCCCCAGTGAAGCTGGAGACTGCCACTCTGTGGGGAAGAGGCGTGCTTGTGTGGTCTGAGCCCATCCCCAGCAGCCTAGTTGCCATGGTGATGGCAGTGCCGTCCGCCTGTTCTGAGGCAGATGATATTGCTACCTGCATGTCCTGAAATGGCAGGGACACCTGAACTTAATTAGCCTGTTTGGATAACAAATGTTGTTCCTGGGCCGCATCCAGAGTGACATCCTCTCTGATGGTGAGGTGTCGTCCCATTAGGAGCGGATGAAAATGAAAGGCAAGTCCATTCAATCAGCACTCCCTTGCACTCGGGCCACCCCTGTTCCAGTTCAGAGGCCTGTCCATTATGCACGAGACCCTGGCGCTCATCCATCACGCCAGCCAACATCCCCACGGTCACCTGGCAACCTCCGCAGCCACCGCCTCTATGGCCGGTCCCGCCAGCCCCCACACAACTGTGTTATTGTGGGCAATTTCAAATCAGTGCTTAGCATCCGCACAGCAATTTCCATTTGCTTTTCTGCAGTCAGCTCCACGAAGCCACATGGCCGCCAGCTCCAACAAAGCAAGAGATTCCCTCACGGAGGCCTCTTGCGACGTCGGGAAGGCTGCTAGACGAAGTAACGAAGGCTAATGGTGCAGAAAATGCAGCCGCAGCCTGTCTTGCCTCATTCTTAACGCCTTCGCCGCGTCCACAGACACCCGACTGGCTGTGTTGGGCCGCAGACGGTGGAGATGATGGCTGTGCTCCCAGGAGGAGGAGAGGGGAAGGGGGCTCGGCCCAGGCGTCCGCCTGGCTGGGGGTTTGTGAAGGTGGCAGGGCTGGGGCATACTTGGAGCTGGGCCATTCCTGAGAGTCTAGAGGAGAAAGGGCTTCTCGGGGTGTTGGGGACGACGGGAAGGGACAGGGGTGTGGGAATTCTGGAGCAGGGCACTTTGGGCTCTAAGGCCAGAGGGCCCCACGGGCAGTTTTCAGGATGTGATCCGGAGCGGCCGGGGGTAGGGGAGGTGTGGCGGGTGGATGCGGGTGTAGCTGAAGCCTGCACGGTGGGGGGTTGGGGGGGCAGCATGGCTGGCACTCCGTGGCGTCCCAGCTGGGAGCACCATCCAGACGGGGAGCAGGACTTTCGGACACACCTTCTTCTGGGTCCCAGCGCTATCCCCAACCTGCTGTGGCTCTCTTGGAGCCTTTGTCCTCTTGTGCCAAACAGGGCAAGGCTGCCTCCTTCCTAGGGTGGCCGGGAGCTTCCCCGACAGAGGCGTCGTGCCCCTGGGAACCTCTTCTTGTGCACGGCGGCCGTATGTGTTAGGCCTGGGGATCGCGGCCTGCCTGGACTTCTTCCTTGCTTTGTGGCTGACGACGGGGTTCTAGCGGGGGAGCAAGTCACCGTGGGCGAGACTTTTTTTCAGGGGGAGATTCTGGGATCCCTCGGGTCCAAGAAGCAGCCGCTGGAGTGCCGTTTGTGCTGTCGCTGAGGGCGGTGGACAAGGCAGCCTCCTGCTTTCTTTGCGGATGGACTTTCCTCTCCGAGCCTCAGTGCCTTTGGGACCGTGGAGCCTTTGGGACAGAGGCTGGACCACGGCGGAAGGAAGGCTGCTGGGTTTCCCTGGCGTGGCCGAGTGACCGATGAGACCGAGGAGAAGCTGGCTGTGATGCCTCCCGGGTTCCTGTCCCCTGTGGATGCAGCTGCTGCCCTTAGCTTTCAGTGGTCACCTTCAGAAGGTAGGCGGCCAACGCTCGAGGCAGCTCCGGGCCCTGGTGGCCGAGGGACTTGAGAGCGCAAGTCAGGGGCTGGGTGTGGGGGAGAGAGAGCACAGCTGGACCAGCCTTGGCCCCAGATTTCCAGGAAGACAGTGGAGGCAGCACGAGGGGCAGGCCCAGGACGTGGGGGGACACACATTCCCACGTACGTCTGGGGGATCACACAGCGATTCCCCCTCACCCCTGCGGTCTCCTGCTGGGTGGGGTGTGCATGCCCCCCGCAGCTCTGTCTGGGCCTGGGTTGGCCCGGGCCACCTGGCCAGCCATGGGGACATTCTGCCTCTTGTCCGTCAGGTGTCCCAGGAGTTATCTGAGGGCCTGGTCCATTTTTCCAGTGCAGTTAATTCCCCGGACAGACGACAGACTCTTCTAATGCAGAGCTGGACAGAATTAAGGTCTGATTTATCCGTCGCAAAGACTCTGCTACCAAAGGTCTTCACTTCCCACCGGAATCAAATCAGTCCGCGGCTGTGTTTGTGGGAACCGGAGGTCGTGCTGTGTCCCTGGGAATCCGCGACAGTAGGGCCTGTTCAGGAGAGAGGTCTGGAGACGGGCTTCTGGTCTCTCCCCTCTGCCGCCCACGGGATGTGTCTGCTGAGCCCGTATTTCGTTCCCCGCCATCAGCCCTTCCCCCAGTGCTCCTCTGGCTCTCTTACACGTGAGCAGTTCACCGTCGCCCTGTTCCCCACAGACTCAGGTGTGCAGGTGAGCCGATGGCTGTAAGCGCTCAGAGAGGAGCCACAGCCCGAGGGGGTCACGGCAGAGAATGCAAGGGGTGCCTCATGAACCCGGAGGCTGTGCTCGCTGGAGCCCTGTAATTAAGTAGGCATGGAAGTGGATGCCCAGAGAGGTTAAGTTACTTGCTCACGGACACACAGCCAGCTACGATGAATGGCGTGGTGAGCCCAGAGCCCATGTCTCCTAGTCTCCAGGCCGATGTCCAGCGGGAGCGTGAGAAGCCCTTGCTCTCTCAGGACAGAGTTTCTGATGACGTCGGGTGTGTGACACCTTGGGTCACACGCGCCCTGCATGTGTCTTTAGATCTCTGATCTGGCCCGTAGTTAACTCCTGTCTCGACGCGATCGTAGGTGGGGACTTTCTTCACTGCAGCAGAGTGGCCAGCAGAGGGAGCTAGCTCCCAGATTCCAGTAAATCATGAATGAGTCCTCTTAAGAGTTTCTAAAATGACAGGGCAATCAAGGCTCATTTGGGGGAAGAAAAGATTGAGCTTTCATTCTTTTTCCAAATCAGCTCTACCTGCTAAAAATGATGTATAATGCATAAGGATCGAAAGTGATTAAAATCCTTATGAATTTAATCAGAAATTCACAGTTAACCACTATTTGCTTTGTTGCAAATTGATGTCGAATAACAATCATGTGTATCTGCAAATTTTTTTTAACTTGTGGGAAATTTGCTGGTGATTTGTGGGGGGAAGTTCGGGGGGAGGGGGGGCCGTTTAAAGGAGAGAAAAGGAGGAAGGAAGCAGTTGAAAGCCGGCTCCCTGGAGGCCCCAAATGCAGGCACTTAGCAGTTCTATAGAAGGCCTTTGTTCATAAATTTCAGGCCCTTGCTATTTATTATTATGAACAATAGGAAATCCTAATAATAACTCCTCTGTGTGCCATTTGCTTTAACTGAGCAAAATTCTCTGAATTGTTTCTTACCTCTGCGTCACACGTTTGGGTCCAAAGCTCTCCCTCCCCCCTCTTTCCACACTTTCCTTCTTCTTCTTCTTTTTTTTTTTTCCCCAAATTATTCCTCATCAAAGCAGACCACTGAATTTTTTCAAATGCAGACATGTATAGGGCAGAGAGAGACTGCCCTTTCATTTCCTTCCTCCCGTAAAAAAGACCTTGAAAAATGGAGACAGTTCCTGGTAAGGGTCCCCTCGGAGGAAAGAAAAGGCCAAAGGAAGAAATGCTCGAGAGGCCCTCCTTACCATCCTTTCTGCGCTGGGAACTTTCTTGTAGAAGGTTTTTTCTGTGTCTCCGATCCAGACCACGGAGGGCTGGAGTTGCCGGGCCACCTGCAGGGGGAAACGTACATGCATGTCTTTCTTGGTCCCCGACCACGAACAGCAGGCCCCCCAAGACGGCTCTCACGGGGGAGCGGGGCCCGGAGGGGCTCCACTGCCTGACCCTGGCCCTCCTGCACGACAGGGCGGGGCCCCCACCGCGGCCTCCTCTCCCACCTTGCTGGCAAGACACCCTTGAGGTCTGTGCATTTGGCTCTAGGACCCGGAGCCTTGAATTAGTCTGGCTTGAAATAAAATGACAGTTTTCTGCTGCAACAAAATCAAGGGGTGTTTGGGTCTCAAGATGTAATTACAGCCTGCTTGCAGCTCCCAGGTTTATTCAGACCTGCTCCTCGTGAGAAAAGCTGTTTCAGCACAAGGGCCCCCGGAATGCCTTTTGTTCTCCTTGGTGTGGCTGTGCCTTTGTGGCCCAGGTTCTGTCTGGGAAGTGGCTCTGAGCCCCTCCACGGTGGGCGGGGCTTTGCGACAGCGCTGGGACGGCAAATCATGGCCACACACCTAAGGATCTCTTCAAAGCGCCCCCATGACAGCAAAGTTCGGGGTTTTTTGCAACAACCTGTGCTTTGTGCAAAATTGCGACAGATGAAAGCCAGCCTCCGGCCGCAGCGAATGTAGTGTTATCCACTCCTATTTTTATATTTCTTCAAACCTCATTAAGGCAGCGGGCATGATTTTCAACCAAGACCGGCATCTAACAAATGATGGAAAAATCACTAGGCTCGCTGTGACCGTTTCCCCAGTGTTACGTACCTAGTGAGGCAGATTATGCACGCTCTAAGACAAAAGCCGATGGAACTTGATCCTGGTGCCAGCGTGACACCTGGGCTGTGTGCATTCACGGTCCCCACTTGCCAGCACCTTCAGGGGGGAAGCACGTCTTGCCAACCACTGTTCGGTACGCGTTAGTTTTTAGACCCAGAGCCACAGAGTTTAAGAACTGCAAACTGTAGCCCCAATTCCTAGGCGGGGCGGTGGGGTGTGATAACCGCAGCGAGTGCCAGCAGTTAGTGAGCAGCCGTGTGCCCGGCCAGGGCCACACGCGTCGCACACGGCAGCACACTCACGGTCAGGGCCAACACTGACCCAGCACGTCCTCCGCTTGATACGTGGTTCACGCCACAGCCCTGCGAAGCAGGTGCCGCGATGCTCACCCAGGTTTGCAGACGGGGAAACCAAGGCTGAAAGGCGCTAAGTGAGCTGTCCAAGGTCACACAGCTCGAAAATGGCAGAAGCAGGATGTAAGACCGGGCTGCTGGCGGCAAAGTCTGCCAGGCTCTCGGGCCCCGTCGCCAGCTGTCGGTTCTCTGGGTTCCTTGCCGTAGGCCCCCCCGACTTTACAACGTGGCCCGCCCCCTCCCTTGCTGCAGACCGAGGGTGGGCTCCAAGGAAGCATTGTTCTGCTGAGAGCTATTTTAAGTCCAAAGCTTCCCTGCTTCCAGCCCCTAAAGAAAATAAGAAAATGAGATCCTGGGTTTCCAGCTTCTTAGAAAAGACACACTTCATAATGACAAAGGCAAAATCTTATTCTTTTTCACTCCTTAAAAATCGTAGCTTTAGAACAGAAAGCTGTTGGAAGAACACCGCACAGAAGCCGTTGTCTCCCGTCTCGGGCTAATGGTGAGTTTGCCGAAGGAGCCGGCCTCTCCCCTCCTGTGTCCACTTGGCAAGCGACAGCCTTTCCAGTCTTTGCGTGTCTCCATTCTGCCGATCCACTCTTCTCAATGGCAATCGCAGATGTGAGCACAAGCCCTTCCGGAGCCTTCTGCTTCTAACGAAGTAAGCTGCTCCAGCCGTCTTGAAAGGCAGGAGTCTTGTTAGCTTGGGATAATTTGAGACCAACAGTCTCTGGTCATACCATTCCATTCAACGCGAAAGTCTAACAACTGTTCCCGAACTCGTGTGCGTTCGGGGCTGGTGGGGAAATTCCAAGCTTCCTGTGTTCGTCACCCGCACCTGTGAAGGAATGGCTTTGCTGGGACCGTTCACCTGCTGCGGGGCACACGGGGCTGTGTGGGGGACCTTGGGGGTGACGTGGTTTCTGAGGGTTCAGTTCTTATCAAATGAAGCAGAAAATGTTTCCCCAGCGATTTCTCTGACAATAACAATACAAGGAATGATCACTTGCAAAGCGCCTTGATCTCATGACACCACTTCTCCTTCGCTCGCTGAGTCTCCCCTTTATATGTGAGGTCACTGGGGCAGAGAAGGGGTAATATGCCCCCCAGCACCGGAGAAATGTTGGAGTCAGTCTGCCCGGAGTCAGACCTGGGTCTGCCTTTATTAACCAGGCGTTAATGTCTGCCCTGTCTCCATGGGAGACAAGATGCCCGTTCCAAAGCATCTCACTACCCTTGACCTGTTTCCTCCTCTACCCCCTTTTTATTCCAGCAGGGAGAACTCTAAAGCCGTCACTGCCTTGTCCTCCTCAGTGGGGAGCTGGCCAGAGGACATCTGGTGGCCAGGCTCAGTTCTGGACAGACGAGAGAGGCATGGAATCCGGGACCCCCACGCGGACAGTGTCTCCCACCAGGGAGGATCGAAGGGATGAGACTTGTCTTGGGAGAAAAGAAGACTCAAGGGGGTAAGCTAGCTGTTTTCAAATAGTCGAAAGGCTCTCGTGGGCCAGAAAGACTGGCTTTATGTAGACTGAGAGCTGTTCTCACATTTCTTCATTCGTTAGTGCTTCCCGGGGATGTGCCAGGCGCTGTGCTCGGTGCTGGGGTCCCTGCACTCAAGGACCTGCCCAGGGGAAGGGAGGGCAGCTTGTGAGGGTGGCCCTAAGAAAATGGGGTGTCGGCGAGGGCCACCAATGACAGAAAGAGCGAGAAGTGGGTCAAGCAGGTGACCAGGAATGGAGACTGCAGACAAAGTGTTAAAGCACACAGAGCTTCTAGTGGTCTCTAGAAGATCACAGAGCCTGAAGATGGGGATGCGTCGGCCATGCCAGGGACGGGAGCCAGGGCACAGGGCTACGTGTGCCCTCGTGGGGCTGCTCGGGGCCACAAAGGCGTCACAAAGGCTGTGGCCGGGCTGCAGAGTTTGCTTTTATCCTGGAAGCTGTGGAGAGTCTGTGAGGGATTTTAATCAAGAACTTGGATCCTAGTTGCAGTATGGAAACATCCCTCTGGTGGGTGTGTGAAGCATGGCGTGCTGGGGGGCTGTTCCCGGGGAACTGGGAAGTTGGTTGGTGGGCATGTGGGAGTGGAGGGTGGGAGCTCACCAGTGGAGGGGGAGAGTGGGTGAGGCCCGGTGACGGCTGCGGGTGAACAGCCTGATGGGGCAGGAGTGCTGCGTTGGGGACAGCAAAGGGCACAGAAGAGGGAGCCGTCGCCACCGCCCAGGGAGGTCAGTGGTGCAGGAAGGGAGTGGGCAACGGCGGCCGGGGCTGGTAATCTGGAGGTCACTGGTGGCCTTGGTGGGGCGTGGAGGGGAGAGAAGCGAGGTGACGGGGGCTGAGGGGTGAAAGGGTCAGAGGCTGAGGCAGGGAGCATTCTTTTAGAAGGATGGGGAGCCCGGAGCCCGGAGGTGGCGTGGGATGGGAGGGCGGCCAGCAGAGGACGACCTAGGAGGGAGAAGGGCTGTCCTCCTTCCCCAGGGAGCAGGAGGTAAGGATGGTTGCTGGCCCAGGCTGGGCATCTGTGACACGAGGGATGTTCGCAGATACAAAGGGTGGACAGGCCAAGCTTTGAAAACCTGGAAATTCGTGGAAATTTGGCCCTTCCTTATTGTTACTGCCAAAGCAGTATTCATTAGCAAAGTTTTCAGGATACGTATTCAGACACATAAACAACACTCTTTGCCTCCTCTGTATGAGCGAATTGTCACGTATTTCCCACCTTTGTAGACCGTCTTCGACACCCATATTTGCCAAAATGAGATCGTTCCTCATACACTGTTTTGCATTCTGGTTTACCCCATATGAAATTTATTTCTCCAACATCATTTTAACCTGATGTCCCATAATTTAGTGATCTAACCTTCTGATTTTGAACATTTGGAAGGTTTCTGCCTTCTAATGAAATCAAACAGTGCTTCGATGAGCTTTGGGAGCCCATGACGAGGTCACTCCCTTAGAACGGGGCCAGACCCACAGCTGCTGGACCTCAGGGCTTATGTTATTCTTGTTTTCGCCGACGTTGGCAACCTGCCCTCCCAGAGGTTCTCTGCTTACACTCTCTTCAGCTGTGGATAAGCGAATCTGTTTTTCCACACTCCCTCCTTAGTGAGTATTAACAATAAAAAACTCTTTGCCAATTTGTTAATGAAAAATGGTATCCTTTGCTCTTTTAATTTTCATTTAGCAATGATAAGCCTTCATTCAAATTACTCACAGAGAGTTTGAGGTCATGGGCAATTAGATGTAATTAATTCATAATTGAACTTTCCAGAAGTTGCACGGGCTAGTTGACTTCAGCTGCCAGTAGAGGGCTCTTCAGTCCCATCAAATATAACTACAGGTTTTCAGTTACATGTCAAATCTGGAATCGAGACGAATTTCCACCATGCGCTTTTCCAAATTCTGGGAAGCTCTATCAAACAATGAAAGACTTCTTCCATGTGATTTTTATGGCTTTGATCTTTTTTAATCCCGAAAGAAACGCTATCAACATTCTCCATCAGAATTAGATTCTCTTGGGTCAGGATATAATGACTCCACGGTGAAAACGTGTTTGTGTTCGGCACACTTAACTTACTAATATGATTTGCCCAAATGACTCCTGGAAGCTTTGGAAGTTCTCTCCGAAAGTGTGCCATTTGGCTTGCCTTAGAGAAACTGATGAAAAGCCAGGTTACTTTTTTCAGTGGTTGAGTCTCAGTTTACCAAACTGGAAACACCCCGCGTCCATCCATCCATCCACCCACTCACCCTCTCGTCCTTTTTTCTATCGATCCATCCATTTGACCACCACCATCCATCTACAGCCTACCATGCATGCATCTAGCTGTCCACTTAGTCACCATCCATGTATGCACCCATCATCCGTCTATTC